TCCAAAGTATTTTCTCTTGCCAGATTGAAGAATTTGCAGTATATATAGACCCAACTAGCCGTGGGTGGGAGGACAGCACCAGCACAAAGATGGGGGGGTAACTTACCGAAGGACTGGGGCACCCAACGACTCATGGGTGTCTTTGCCAGTACACAGCCAGGGCATGTTCCAGATCCCACAGCCAAGTGATACACCCCTGCTAAGGGCAACCAGTTCGGATAAGGTTCAAAGTGTCCCCAAAACATTATCCAGAGCTCAGGCCAGCAGATTGATATTCTTGCGCGCCACTGACACTACCTGCACACCACGACACTGGTGTTTGTGTGAGTATATGGGATGGACTACTCAAGACTGAGCGAAAACCCTGAGCTCTGTAGTTGGGATGTCTTCCTAGGAGTGAAGCAACAAGGGGAAAATCAAGAACATCTGCTGCTGCCTTGACAACTGGTCAGAGCCCTGTTCTGTGAGCCCTCCCGCGGGCACCAGAGATTGCCACTCCATCGATATTTGTCGATGGCGCTGATAGTGCTGTTTGCGTCACTGAATTTCCCCATAAGCAAGTCCTACAAATACCTAGAGTAAAATAGCTTTTAACATGCTCGCAGCCAAGAACCACGATCCCAAAGAGGTCCTTTATCCTGAGCAGTCGCTTTCCCACCCTGCCGCAAAACCCGTGGACCTAGGGTGCGTAAAAGCTACGCTTGGAATTGTACTCACCCGATCCGCATTATTCAATCTTGTCAGAGCTGAAGTAGCTGGGTTTATGCCAGTCTCCATGGCTGCCACCTCTTCCCCTTGAACGGAAGGTGTCAGGAGCAAATACCTCTTTTAAAACAAGAGCACGGAGACATACATGAGTGTTATACACTTTCAAACACGTGTTCATTCAGCACGCTGCACGTCATCGGGACAACCTCAAGGATGCACACAAGCACTAGTTACGAGAGCACGGATCTGGCAATGCAGAAGACGCACACACAGAGTGTACAAACCTCAGCGCTGCCCTACTTCACAGCCTAATGCCCACACTGCTTCCCAAGTGACACAGCCCTCTACACAGGAAAAAGCAGCTGGCCATGACCTGAGCAAACAGCTGGTCTTCCATATTTTCTTCTCCCTCAGATGACCTTCAGATGGTCCAAAAGACAAACCAAGATGTCCTGGGACAGTCCAGCACAGCAGAAATGGCTTACCTTCTCTGCGACTGCTGCCTCGCCTGTTGGGGTTCATTATCGGCACATGCATCATCTGTAAATTAAAGACATTTCTTTAAGAAGCTCATCTGTCAAAAAGTCCACCTCTCCTTCATTTCCTCAGGTACTATGTGATCATTGAAGTAATTCCAAACTTTATTATTAATTGCTCTGAAAACAAGATTACTGCTGACACTATTGCAAAGCAGTGCTGTCGCTAAGGAAGTCTGCGGTTGCAAAGAGGCTCTCAGGTCAAAACCTTTAGTACTTGATACCTTACCTGACCTTACTGCAGTGCAGGTACAGCCAGGAGAGCAGAGCGAGCCTGTTGCAATCACACAGGGCATCTCTCTGCCTCATTTATCCCAGATTACTCTTTTAAAAGCTCTCTGTGCTGTTTCGTTGGTGTCTATCCCAGTAACATGAACCCATCACAATTCCTTTTCCTACCTAAATGCCACCAGCACTACGGGAGCTATGCCACCTCAGCCAGGCTCAGTTCCCTTGAATGGAATTACAGCTCTAGAGCAAGAACCGTGGAACACTTGCTGCAGCCCTCTACAGAAAGAAATACTTTCCTTTTCATGTGAAATAATTCCCTTTGGCATTTATTCCTTATTAACATTGCAGGAAATATATTCCCCAGTAGGAATATTGGCAGCCGTACTGAATTTTAAGTGATGGTTAAAGAAGACTTGCAGGAAGATGTCTGCTTGTAAAAGCAAGTGTTTATACTGAATGCCCTATTAAACAAGAGTTATGCTTAACCCACAGAGGACAGACTGAACATCCAAGACTACGTTACATATTTCAATACTTCACATGCAGTCTTTCTGCTCTGCACATCAAGACTTCCTGTGGTGCATTCACTAGCTAGTTCTCAATAGAGATTCTGAACAACTGAAACTAAATTACAAGCTAATTTGCCAATTCAAACCAAAAGGTGACATAGAATCCTGTTTGCTTCAAGTTATTAATTTAGTCACTTGCATCTTCCAAAAGTAAAAGCCATCCATATCCTCTGGCACCTTGCTGGTGAAACTATCTTTGTTCCTTGCATTTAATCCTCAAGTACAACACCCACTGTAGATCTGTGTTGTAATTGCAGACACCCAGTTTTAAGTGTTAGTTCACGGAAAAAGCAGACACTGGCATGATTTGAAAACAGCTAGCAGGAATTCATAGGTTGGGTCAGCATTTAATCACACCTTAAAAACCAAATAAGAGCTCAAAAAGGGAACACAAATCTCAGCAGAGCAAATGTTCTTCAGCAATACTGTGATTACACGCTCAGCTGAGAGCTGGGTTTGGTAACAGAGCCAGAGTCACCGGTATTTGTTTCTAAGATGTGCCAATCACTGTTCTCCAGGCACATACTCTACATGTCAACAAGGAGAGAGCGTTGGAGTTGGCGGATGTGCCAGACTGCCGCAGAGATTCACACTCTCCCCCGCCATTCATCAAGCAAGGTCAAAGCTCTCAGCTGATGGAAAGTGAAGCATTACAGGAGACAGCTGGATTTCAAACCATGTTCAATTTTCTGATCAAAGCCTTCAACTGCTACAGGAGCTGCACTTCACATATATACACCTGACTTCTTGGAATAGGATAAGTGGAATTTTCACTCCCCCAGGTAGCAAAAATCTGTTTTCCTGCTCCTTACCTCCTCGCTGCTCATCGATTCAGAGCTGGATGTGCCACGATGGCACTGCACGATAACGTTTGAGATCAACTCACCAGAGACTTCCACACTACTTCTGCAGAAAGCGGTTGGCTGTAACAGATCAAAATAGAGCAAATCTCGTAAAGCGAGCTACTGTGCGAACCTTCTCATGGGAGTTTCACTGATGGGAGGGAACCTGTACAGGGATTTTAAAATCAAATTCCAAAAGGAAGAAACTCAAGCAAGACTATAGACCTAACAAGTTATTGGAGCTGACTGCAGCCAGGCCAATATATTCTGGCAGCATACTACTACACACAAGTTATTGCTCCACTTGCTAACACGCAAGTTATTGCGTATTAGTTGTATAAAATCTTGAGCTGCTAGAGGCAGAAGAAAATCTGCAAATCCTTGTGCATCACCAAGCACAAACAGAAGATCTGTGCATAGCTATGCCGATGGTAGCTCCAGCTCTAGAAGTTAAATTACCTTTAAAGTTGTCTCTACGATTTGACAGAAGCTCCAGCCAAACTTGACACCCAAGTTTGGAAAACAGAGATCCTCACACTATCTTTCATATCATATTGCCCCAACAAGAAGAGGGACAGTGTCTGTTTAGGATACAGTGCTAACTTCACAGCAGCCAACCCTTGCGTCTTTAAAGAAAATGTAGCAACAACCGCCAGTTCCATGTTGTCTCATCTACAAGCACACAAACTACTTAGCTCCAGAGCGGTGATACTCAGAGACGCTTATCCCCGCTCTTCATGGGGTAAACCACCTCCTGAGGTAGTAGCACGACTCATAAGCTACGCGAAAAGCCTTTGTGCCATCTCTTCAGTGCCTTCCCAGAGTCTCTCCTCCTCCTTAAAGTCCCAGGAAGGACAGATAAGTTTGGCAGCCATTCCCAGAGGAAAAAGAGGAGAGAAGAGCTCAGCTTGGAGTGGCACAAAGAACCAGAGATAATCTCTGTGGAAGTCTGACACACAGTACGGCATCACTGCACACAGGGCCTCAGGAGCTACTCCACGTGCTTTGCAACACTTGTGCGAACAGTTAGGACACAACCACTCAGAAGCTCGCAATGGAAGCCACGTTTTGTCAAAAATAACTGTGCACAGATAAGTATGGATTCAAGGATGATGTATTTACACCAAAGCTGGTCATCTAAGAATCAAAGCGCAGCAAGAGCTATATCAAGAGCCTGATCTGTGTTGATTTCGGGCTGAAAAGAGAGTTGAAGAGCTGAGAAAGGTTAGCACTATCAGCACGGAGTAGGAATCTGCGCTACGTAAGAAGATAAGCCATGATACGGTACCTAGATGCATGATACACAAAAGCAGGTCAAACCTTAGTCTTTCAACCTTCTTATTGCAGAAAACAAGCCATACTTTCCTTCCAGGATTTGGTCCCAAAGCACACAGATGCTTTCACTACATGCTGCTCCAAGACACACATCCTCTCTTGCACCAGCAGCGTTTCAACGTGCCCCGAGAACATCCTGCGCAGAGCAAGGGCTTCCCATTCACACCAGAGGCACTTACCACGAAAGGCCCAAGTTTGAAGTCACACGTGAACGGGTCTCTCCCTGAAGCTTTCGTGCACACAGTTTCACGGATGCTGAACTGTAGCTCTAGCCTATAAGCGTTGCTGTTCCACATGTCAACCTGGTAAAAGGAAGGCCAACACAATGTGTAATTAGTGCCTGTCATTCTTCCATGCCGACTACGTGGCAACCTTGCTTCTTTGTCAAGAAGCAGCAAGGCGTAAGGACGTTATGGGTCAGTGCCCAGTTTAGAGCAGATTGCTCCATGTGGAAAGGCTGTTTTACTGTGCTCAGGAGTTACTCTTAGGCAGATTTGGTAACAGCAACATGGAACAGCTTTCCACAGGGGTTTCACTTGAAACATCACAGCCATTGCAAAATCCTCCTACTGCTCAGTGTCGGTTGCGGGGGGGTGGGACAACACTATAGCTGTCAAAGCCCTGCCCCTGCATGCTACCCCCTCTTCTGTGGGAACCAGGCTGCTAACAACTCTGCTGTGGATAGCTAGACTCCTCAGAAGTCTATTGCAAACACACGACTTGGAAAGAAAAATCACACAACTGCAAAGCCATTGAATTAATGCAGTTTACAGAGTCGCTGCTTGTCAGCTCAGGTGCCTCAGTGGGCAGCACGCGTTGCTACGCTGCAATCTTCAGAGAGTCTGGTTGCTTTTGTTGATGCATTAGGATTCTCACCTTCCCTTCTCAGAGTCTAATCAAGATAGGAGACTCAACAAAAAAGACAAACAGCAAAAATCCCACTGCTTTCAATCACTTTTTTTTTTTTCCCCAAAATTAAATCAATCCAAAAGTCATCTTTATCATTCATTCTTGCAGAAGACTTGATACACACCATCTCTAGAAAGAGAATGGTTCTGAGGATGTTCAGGTACATGGACATGCTAACTTTAAACTAGGAAGCTTAATTCCTTGACTCTGGGTATCCAATATATTTCTGAGCAACACAAATCAAACCAGATAAGGGTTTCCTGCCTGCATTTAGACACTAGTAGGCCAGAATTGCTGTGTAGAGACAGATGATGTAAATGCAGATTGGAGAAAGAATCCTCAATGCAGTTGTGGTGGCATTTAAGTAGCAGTGCGGACGTTCAGCTGAGACCTTCAGATGAATCAGGTTACTTCATGCCCAAAGCAAAGCAGTTAGCTGGAGGCATTTAAAAACAACAATTTTGAACAAAATCTTACAAGACATCCCTCAAAGATTTCTACTCTAGGGGTGGAAAGTTGAAAATTCAAACTGCTAAAGTATTTTTCATTAAAAACCAACATGCAAGGAATATTTAGGTTCCTAAAGCCATAGCTGCAGATAATGCCCCAAACCCACCCTCTTCCAAGCAGCATCAGAAAACTCCAACTAAATCTGGGTTGCCAGAATTGGGTGAAAAAGAATTTTCCACCACAACAAAGCATATTCCAGGTAAAGGCTCTCCCTTGTCTGCACACTTACTCTTGTGACGTGGCTCCTGACAACACCGTACAGGTTTGTCCCCCAAGACTGAGAATTGATCCTTGCAATGGAAGCATTGAGAGCCTCTTCTGTGACAGGGAGCTCGTAGTCGTACACTGGAAACCCTGAGGCGGAGGCACAATTCCATCAGAAATTCAGTGCGGTCTTGTACTTTTCCTCCCTAAACCACGGTAAAGAAAGAGGACGTGGCTCCATTCTGAGCAACTTACCTGAACACGAGAAAACGCTCAGCGTGAGGACAAAAATTAAGATCCTCATAGTGTGCCTTTCAAAATCCTCTGGTCCCTTCCCTTTCTAAGCACGGGTTTCCAGTGCACGTTCCTCTGTCTTTATATAAATGCAGCCTTGATCCTACACCTGACCTTCCTGTGTCCAAGCTCTGCTACAAACATTGCACTTTAAACAGAATCGATCCGAGAGTAAACATTTGCTGTCAGCTTTTCTCCATTTAGCAGTAGTTCTCTGATAAGAGATGGGCTGCAGTGTCTTTTTCCCAGGACTGCAACTAAAAGGAAGCACTGAATTCCTGATATCACCATAGCCAAAGGCAGAATCTAGTTATTTGGTTCACTTTTAGCCATTAGTTTTCCAAGTCAACTCTTTCCTTAGCATTAGACCCAGCACCTTTGCGTCTCGGCAGCAGCTGGCAGCACTTACAAGCTGGAGCTCCCCAAAGAGGGAACAATTCCCCAGCATGGCATGGGAATCCACCAACGTAGACCTGACCACCACCACCACCCTGCAGGCCAAAGCATCCCACAGAAGCCTCCCAGGCACACGGCAGACCCTTGGGACACCCCAGGTCTACTGGCCTTGCAAGCTCCTGGGACCTCTGCTTTTCGGTACGTGCCAGAAGAGCTCCCACATTCCTGTTACTCTTGCCTAGCTAACCAAACAAGCAAGTGGCTGTGGACATTTGGTTTCCCCTGTCAGATCCCCCTGACGCTCAGGCTTCAGTTCCAGCACAGAAATTAATGGGATTTTTAGAAAATTGTGGCCTGACTACAGTACTGAAAACATCATAAGGAATTAGAGGGACGAGCTGGACAGGACACCTCAACTCTTAGCTAACTGGAGCCAGACTGCAACGGGGCAAGGTTATACCCTCTCCAACACACAACACTTGTCAGTGTTGGTTTCCAGAGCCACTGAAACACTTCCAGGAAGGTTCAGAGATGCACCGGAGTTTTAAGTGCTCAAAGGCCGTCCATCGGAGTTGGGAGGGAAACTGCTGCCTTCATGTTCACCCGCTGCTGACTGTTCACAAGGCAGAGATGTGTCTAACCATATTCATTTTGAAGATCCCGTGTGTGGAAATTCCTCCACTAACCTTCAAATCGCAGTTCCACTTCAATTATGTGGCATGGGGTCATTTTAAGAACTTCCCAAATGACAAGCACTCAAGGAGAGACATGGGAGCATGCAAAGTACCAGGGCTCAGATTCGATACGGAAGAGGATAAAGTTGCTTCTGGTTGTTAGGTTGTTGGATTGCAGGATGGCAGTCAATTGCAAGGTTGGACACTGCGGGGATCTGACTCCTCGGGTGACAGAGATTATCACCTACACTGCAAGTACTGTAAGGCAAAGACCTGCAAAGGCTTCTAAAGACACAACAGAAACAACTGCCCAGTTGTGGGCCTTGATGGATTCACTTCCCATTGTTGCTGTGAGATCCTGCAAAAGGAACCTGCTGAGCCACAGTACACCTCAGGAAAGAGTTTGTGTCCCAGCTGGTAGAGCTGCACATGAGCACAGAGGCTGTGCCAGGAACAAGCCATGCCAACGGGGGACACACGCAGGAACCTCCCTGGAGCCACATCAGTGGCCAGTGCCACACCACGTGCGTGCCATCCCACCCAAGCACTGCTTTGGGAGAGGTGGATGTGGGTGCACGTTCCAAAAAGGGGTGGGTGTTTTTTACCAGCCAACTTGGATTTCAGCATTGGGAACATGATCAAAAACGCCGACTGAAACTTTGCCCAGTCACAAGCCGGAGCCTCTTCTGTACACCCGTCCTCCTTGTTCACTGCAGCTGAAGACGCTCTTTCCCGGCTCTTGGACACACTGTAGGGTCTGTCCTTCCTGCATCCCAGATCTCCTTAGCTGCTGTCGGTACTACGGGGAGACCAGTAATGTTCTTCTACAGCCGTGCCAGAGCACCACAACATGGAGGATTTAAACTGAGCTGAAGATTCTAAGAACAGTCTGTTGCGCTACGCCCAACTTTTCTGCAACCAGAGCCAAGACCACGCTGCCTCAGATCAAGGAGAAAACCTTCCGATACACTGTTAGACCTGCTTCTACAGTGGTTTCTCTGCAATCAATCGTGCTGCCGCTGTGGTAATGAAACACAAGAAGTGAGCTGGCTCAAACCACTCGAATGGAAAGAATTTGGCATTCGGAGCCCCAGGGTCCTTATTGTTTTCCAGCACGCTTCACCACCGACTTGCTGTGGTAGTGTGGGTAACACTTAGCTTTCAACTTCATCCCTAGAAAAGGAACCATCTGCCTCTTGCATGTGGGGACCGGTTAATATTCCACCAGAATTCCTAACTGCCGAGCCACAGTGCTGTAGCCAGTCCAGTAGTAATTTTAACTACTCAATGGGGTTTAAAGATTTTCCTCTTAAAGTAGCTACTAGGAAATGCTGCCAGCAGGATTGTAGTAATGCTGGGCAGGGCTTGAAAATAAAATCGTTTAATGAAATGAAAATTCCTCTGCAGAGCTCTGGCTTTGCTTTGCAGCATCCAGAGAACGGAGATGTTTGCTATTCCACCTCTCTGAATCCTGGTTCATTAAGTCTGTAATGAACTCAGTAAATATTTCTTCTGTCACTCCACAGATGTGTTACACACTCCAGTAGATTCATGTTCCAGCAAAATTGGTTTCACCCGCTGTCCATGTCGGCAGCGCGTTTGGGTTGAGGGCACTCAACCCAGAGACAGGAGCCGGGGAAGAGACAAAAACTGGGGGTGGGCAGGATGGGAATGGGGAGAAGAGAGTGTCGGTGGGGAGAACAGGCTTGGGCACGTGCCGGCAGGAGGAAAGGCAAGCCTGCACAGGGCACAGCATTGTCCCCACTCCCAGGTAATGCATCCCCAGGTACCACCCACCGAGTGCTAACAGGCCAGGTGGAACCAACAGGAGAAGGATGATTTACTTCTCTTTGGGAAAGGGGGGGTGGAAAAAGCATTCTTGGGAAATCTCTGCTTTCAGTAGATTTAAGCAATGAAAAAGTTTTGTGTTTTCAGACTCAAAGTGTCCCGAGCTCTTGGTTTCTGAGGAGGTCTGAGGTTTTCACCGCATTCTTTGGACTGGAGACTAACTGAAGCGTCAAGTTAGAAATCACCACTAAATTTGCTAAGAGTGACCGGAATTCAACCTGAAATTCAATACTTTGTAAAAGGTCAAATTCCCGAACCCAAGAGTTCGGTTATTGGCACCTTCAGAACAGAATGTTGTTGTTTCACCTATGCTAAGGAAACACCACCGATACAGACCAAGGGCAACACGCTCTTGGAAAGAGCAAAGCATCCTTCCCCTCCTCTGGAGACCAGCTCCTGGCACATGCCGATAAGGACCCTGCCACGAATTACCAGGTGCTATAAGACAGTTTGGTGAGCAGAGCCTTTGCCTCAAACTGAAAACAGGGCAGAACAAAGGGAAGAAGGTGCAAAAACTGAGACAACAGGTGTTTCTGACGTGTTGCCTGCTGCCGCCTTCCACGTCCTCGGGAATTAAACGGGCTTTCATGGGAAAGTGACCCAGACACCACACAACGCTGGGGAGAAGCCACAGATGTGAGTCTGCAGCTTTACGAAGGCTTCCAATTGCAGTGGCAGAAATGGAGCTCACAATGTCTCTGATCAAGATAACGTTTTCCCCCCCCCCCCCGATTAACCAGACTGAAGAAGGTTGAGAAGACTTTTAGAGAGATCTCACAGAGCAGACAGAAAAAGCATATGGGCACAGACATATACATCTCTTTAGAAAGGACAAATGTTATATAGTTAAACCCCCAAGAATACAAAACCTCTTGAAACTTGAGAGGGGGTGAGACAGAGAAAGACTCTTCTAATTTAAGGAATTTAAGGACTAAACTTTGACTCTACTACCAGCAAGTTTCAGATGCCAAGCAGCTTGAGGTGGAGGGCAGACATTGTATCCACTTTAATCTACACAGCAAACAGATATACACTATTTAGATAAGAGGAAATCAAAGAGCTTCTGTTAGATGACCATTTTCAGACCACTTTCACTCCTAGCAATCAAGTCAGCTCTGTTCCCAGACAACTGGGAGAACAATAGTATCTCTTTGTGAATGAAATTTTGATAATATCAAGATGTGTTTTCATTTAAAATGTAAATCATCCAGAATAATCATATGGCTGTACTCTGAAAATAGCCTAAACAGCATCCCAGGTACTGAGGAGCTATTCCTGATCCCTTGTTTCCCGGACATTCAAATGACAGATGAAAGTTAATGATGTCCCTTCGGATAAAAAGAAAACCTGACTAAATGCAAAACAACATGTTCTTTTTTTTTTTTTTTTTTCCCCCCCTAGCTCTCACAGCATGGCATTGGCAAAACCAAAAGGCTTCCTAAAAGTTTTTCTCCCTGGGTAACTTCATCACATATGCAGAAGACTGTTGTATGGACATCAGTTGATAAAGGTAGGAGAAAGGCTTCTAGATGTTGCTCAGATTAAGAGGGGCTTGGAGACCTGATCCATAGTTCATAGACACCAACAGAGACTCAGCTTTGATTCCCCTCACATCTTGTCTTGAGAAACTAGCATTCGATCGTACAGCCAGTGCAGACACTGCCTATGGGCTGACAAACGTTCTCCAGCCCTTGACCACCTGGGATGGAAAATAAGTCTTTTTTCTTTCAATTTCTCCAATTGCTGTCATAAGATGGTACCCTCTGCCACGCTGGCTGCATTTCTCAACCCCACATACAGCTTTGCACTGTAAAGCATTTGAAGGTTTGGTGGTCAAAAGGAGAGTAAAGTGAAGACAAGTGAATACAGTGACACCTCAGCTTCCCACACCTATAAAATAAAGGATGAGACCAGATGCATTTCCTAAGTCTGGAGTTTATACCACAGCAGTTCCTTTCTCTGCAAGGTTTGCTGACGCTCTGGGAGAACTCACTGAGTTCTTCTACGTCAACACTGAAAACCAACGGAAGTCTTAATTTTACAAAAATTAAAGGAAATATTTCAGTAAGCGCATAGAGGCAGTGCCTATCCT